CCCCAGCCCTACCCGAAAAACCTTGAAGAACTGAACTGAGAGTGAGGAACCATCCCCAGGAACCACCAAAAACAAACCCAACCCCGGAGGCCGATGTGCCAGATACCGTGATGACGTGGTAACCGGACATAACGATGACCCCGGGAGGGTGTGCAGCACTACATCCTTACCCTTCTCCCATATGTCCGTCTTAGATCGGGCCAAATGAACTACCAGAGAAAAGGCAGTGTTTACATTACAGCCTAGGAATATCTCCAGTGGCCACTTCCTGGGGCAGTGCTGCACAGTGTGGAGCACTGACATTCAGTGTCTCCACTCTCTGCATGGAATCACTGAACTTTCCTCATAGATTCAATGCATCTCTATGAAGAGATGCTGATTGGCCAGGTCTGTGTTTGGCTTGTGCTGGCTCTGACCCTGATCTGCCTCCTTGACAGTCTCAGTCAATCCAATGCTTTCCTATATGAAAGCATTGTGATAGGGTCAGATCACCACTTCTGATGATATCAGCCAAGCAGACAGATCAGGGGCAGAGCCTATAGCAGCAGACTGGAATAAAAGTAAGAATTTGCTATATTTAGGGGTACAAGGGGTGGAGGGGGAGGGGGCAGGAGGGCTAGATGGTGTTTTTAACACTATAGGGCCAGGAATACGTTTGTGTTCCTGGCCCTAGAGTGTTTCTTTAATTTTATTGGCTTGGTTCCATCTATGCAACTATATAGAATTTTCTAAACACTACTGATTCTACAAGCTTATTGAATGGGCCAACCTTGAGACCATTTTTAAAAATGTTTTTTTTTAGGTTGATATATTTTTGTCCCATTTGCCACAAGGCAAATATATGATATTATGCTTCAGTGGAGATATTTAAACTGAGATTCTGTAAGGATGTTCTCTTATAGTATGAAGTGTATATAAAATCTAGTTACTACAAATAAGTGAAACTGATGCTGAACACATCTTCATGTCAGAGACCCCCGTATCACTCCCCGAGTTACACTGGTCAATTTAATAAAATATCTTTCTCTCATATGGTGTACTTATGGCTAAATGTGACATAGTGACATATTCATCTTCTTAGGCTGTGTTTACCATAGCAACAACTCCTTAAATATACATGGCTATTAATCTGATTAAATAATACTAAGAGCTTGGTTAAACAGTGAAAAGGATGTTTATGTTACAGAAAATGCTTCCATCGCATTTAAGTGTTTTCAGTGCTCACCATGAACATGTGTGTCTGTATCTTGAATCAACGAATGTTTGACTAAATATATGAGAAAATGTAATATTAACAGAGGTATACTAGATATGTTTGCTACTGATCAATTTATGTGTATCTCTATTTGTGCATCTATCTATCTATCTGTCTGTCTGTCTATCTATCTATCTGTCTATCGATCTAATTTTTATACATGCTTGTAGCTATAGATTTTGTCCTGTTGATATATATCTCTAAAGAAGGTGTGGGTGAAGGGTATATCTCTAGCTGTTATGGAACTGCAGCACTTACAACATTTGGTCAGCCGTAATGCTGGTTAAGCGTTATCAGAGTTTTAGTTCTTTTTGATAAAGATAGGGTCTAACTTTTGGTTGCCACACTGTCAAAAATTATTTACTGTTCTTATTTAGTTTTGCCATAAACTGGCCTTGATTTCTTTTTCTTGGCCTTTTGAATAATAGGGTATTTGGCCCAAACATTAGTGCTACAAAGTAATTTTAAAGTCCCCCCCACAGCCCTCCACCCCCAGTTAGATATTCTGGTTGGAACTTTTTTGTTTTGTTTTGTATGTTTAATTGTTTTCATGTGGTCTTAATAGATTTTCATTCTTTTAGAAGATGCCAATTTTCAATGGCATAAGATGAAGATATCAAGGACATTGGCTGACAGCACCGAGTTATGTGAGTCAAGAGTTTTGTTGTTGTAACAGGGGGTAAACTAAAGGTGTAGTGCTCTTGCACGTCTATCACAGCCAGAAATTGAAGAAAACTGGTGAATATTTCCAATTTTGCCTTTTTCTTTGCATTATCTGCAAATTTTGGTTTCCATAGACTGTGATTCATTAGTGAAGTATTTTGGTACTGTCGCTCACACAGGAACAAGCATCACAGTATATTATATTTTGTGCACATAGGAATGTCGTAATGTTACAGCTAGAATGAAAGACTTGAGGAGAATGAAAGTAATAATGCAGACAGAGCTGAGGATTTCAAATAGAAAAAATATTCCTTGCTGGGTTTTATTTGATTGTTCCTGTTCTTCTATGCTCAGATATAGAACTGTGTTTACAGCAGTGACTGATTATTAGTGTATTGTGACTTTACTGCGTATTTTAAAGGGATACTATAGTGCCAGAAATACAAAGCTGTATTCCTGGTGCTATCACTCCCCCTGCCCCTTCCCTCGCGTCCTCCTCCCCAGTGAATAAAGGATTAAAAACATTTTTATTTACTTACCAAATCCGATGTCCCTCGGCGCTGGGTCACAGTTCCTCCCCCTCCGACGTCCCACGACGAGTGACGCGCTCATTATACCTCCCCATAGGAAAGCATTGAAATAATGCTTTCCTGTGGGTAAAAATCTGACATTGGAGGTCCTTACGCAGAGCGTGAGGACGTCCAGCATCAGATACCGGACCAAAGGTCCGTTTCAAACCAGGAAGCCCTCTAGTGGCTCTCTGGTGTCCCTTTAACCTTCATACCCTGGAGAATATGGAACATGTGTATCACATTTATACAGTGGACTATATTACTGCAACTAATGAATGGAACTAAGTGGGTCAGCTATTACTGGCCTGATAGCCGTGATAAGTATATTGATGTTTCACTCATACTATTTATCTTCTAATTATCTCTGCGGAGAATGGTCTTTATTTGTTTCAATTCAATTCATTGTTCTGGTCTAGTATATTATGTTGGGGTCATTTGAGGTTTTATTTGCAGTTTTAGAGCTTTTTATGATTGTACTATATAACGTTTAATGGTCAATTAGTGCATATGGTGACAGAGTAAATTGGTCGCCAGACAGGAATGGCTTGGTTTAAGCTGTAATCATCTAAGAACACATTTAGAGAAGTTTAGATATCTAAGTAAAAGTTATGGCACTTGCCTGGTTTTGCTTTTATTGTTTCAGAAAGCCTGAATTTGGTAAAATATCTAGACTGCTATACATTCATTGGTAACCTCAACATTTGTCATACAGCTACAGATCATGGTAGGGGTGAAATCTCTCTCCTATTTTATAGGAATACATTGGTTTACCATACGGACTCTCCAGATTAATTAGAGTTATTATTGGGTATGTCATATCCCTCGGAAACAGGAGCTTAAGCATACATCCCAGCTGCCTGTTTGGTTGTCTTGTTTTGATTCTACTTATTCATCAAGTTTAGCGTTACTTTACCTAAGTACAGATTGGGCAACACTCTAGTAATTTTAATTTTGTACTTTAAATCCTGACCGTTAATCTGCAAATCATTCATGTTAAAATCATTTTAGCTTAAACTTTTTCATGGCTTGCTCTGGTGACAAATGACAAGCACGAGTCATTTTTGTTTTAATTTTGTTTTTTAATTGGTGGAAGCAAGCAGATGCACCAACTGGTGCCAATAGATATTACACCACACACAGTTTATGAATAAGAAAGACTTGGGGAAAAAAAAAAAAACTGAACAAGACCACCAACAAAGCATGCTCTCACCGTGTAGGAGTAGAATGGAAGAATTGGCTACCATAGGTGACTTGGACTTTGAAATAATTAGAAACCTTTCACTCCAGGATTATTGGGATGCTATTCTCTAATTTGTAACAGTGTTTTGAATATATATTTTTCACTTCCTCAAAACTGTGCCACAATATACATCCTATATATATTTAGATGATATGAGCCATCCCCGGGCTTCCTCTATGCCAGAGACCTCTGCACACATTCTTGTTCCTACCCCCACCATGTACATGCAGATAAGGATTAAGATCCCACAGGCACTAAGCAGATCACCAGTTTGAGACCCCTCTTCATTCTTCACTTAGGGATGTTTAATGGGGCCAAGCAAATTCATGGTCCCAGAGTTCCTGTCTAAACCCTAGGCGGCTGCCTAGAGTCACCCTATGATTAATCCTGCTGTGTGCACATGCCTTCTGCATTATGAATGACCATCTTAACCCTATCAGATGGAAACTGAACTGTAATAAATATTTTTTTTTTCTCCCTTACAGTGGCTGACTTATTTTGTTTTGGTTTACTTTTCCTCTCATGGTAATCTGTGGAGCAGAAGGAGACGCTTGGTTCCAGAGAGACTGTTGTATGTGCTGTGCACCAACAGAGAAGATCTGAATTGTCAGCTGGACCAGCCTGGGGCTTCTCCAAGACAAGGAGGAGGAGAGAGGTATGTATTTTACATCTAGTGTATACTCCAGTGAACGTAGGAAGGAACGGAGTAAAAAGTTGTCTGCGTGTTTTGCTA